CACCCAACACATGCAATAGGAATGAATCATCACTCATATCTGAAATATGGAAAATAATACTACCAATCAAATCAAGTGAAAAACAATAGAACTATATAAATGAATTTAGGAAGTCGTGTGATTAACTTGATATGATTATGAGCAATAAATTGTGCTCGAAACGTCATCAGTAAATATTACTGTATAACACTGTGAGACTCTATCAAAATAAAATTTACCCATAATGGAATTATTTATAGGTAGATCTATTAATTCTTATCTTTGCATAACGGCTTCAGCTATTAATCCTGATATGGGCGATCGCATTTTCGTTCCTTTTATTTGTTCATATATTTGAGCATTGAACTGGAAGTATGTTGTAAGGCATAATTTTATGAGTTCTATCCAAGTTGATAATTGCGTTTTTGTGTTTTCATCACTATAGAGTAATTGTTGCATAGTTTCTGTTGCTAGTTTTGCACTAATTGAAGTATATAATGCTGTGACATCAGGTGACCAGAAAGTTTAAAATCCAAGTCAATAGAAAATGGTCAACACATATGTAAAGATAGTTACCAGGAGACGCAAATATATCACTCATGAAGAAATTTAAATCATTTCACTTTGTGCTAAATATGGCGCTGAAAGGGGATGTTGTTCAGAAGGACGACGAAAGCTTCGCAACTAAACCAACCAGCTCAGAGAACACTATTAGTTGCATATCAAGCACTTTGCCAGATTATACTCCTTGGAGAGCGATCAGGTCATGGATTTCTCAAGTAAAGCAGATGAATATCTAAGTGACTGACATACTTTTCACCACATACAAGATCGATAAAGCTGTCGCAAATCTTAGGCTTTTTAACACTATTGGTCCAGACGGTATATCATCCATTCTGCTGAAAAACAGTGGTGATTACATGAGTTTACTCCTACTCGAGCTATACTCAATTTAACTAGGCGATGGGACATACCCTACCTGCTGGAAGAAGTCTTGTATTGTACCTATCCATAAATACGGGCCTATAGCTGATATCAACAACTACCACCCGATCAACGTCACGTCTGTAGTTTCACGTATGATGGAAAAAGCAGCAGAGGCTCAAATCATTCAGTGCTTGCTCTCAAATGACCTACTATCCCCATCCCAGTACGGTTTCCTATTATTTATTATTTTACTTTTATTATTTATTTTGATTACAGCTTGATGCCACACCGTATTTTCAGTACAAGTATGAAAGTTTCTGCATGGATATCGGTAGCCCAAATTTTGCAGGCCGACCATAGATATCGGGTGTGCGTCGGTTTTCTGTTCTTTTCCTTGTGTCTTCCTGATTGGGTGATTTGAAGAATTTGGTGTCTTCTGATAGTGAATTTGTTTAATTTCTCATTATGGTCGGATCTATTCATTACCACAGTCCCATTGCCCTCATCAGGATGGATGAGGATTATGTCTTAATTTTCTTGAAGTTGTTTTCTGTGTTCCTTGGTCAGTAGACATCGATGGCTTGGTAGTATACGAATGTACTTGTAGCAGCTGTCGAAAAAGTGAAGCTTTGAATTGTTCGAGATCTTTTTTCCGAAGTAGATGACAAATCAAATGTTTGTGAGATTATATTCTCGAATTGGACTTTGGTTTATAATTCGTTGATTTTACTCGATACATTGCAGAATTTCGGACCAAGTGATAGGACTCGAATTTGAATATGAGTGAGAGGAAAATTCAAAAAGTTCAAGACCTATTTTTCAGGATTTTGTGGAAACAGCAAGACAGTTTCAGGCTTTTTCTTAGTCGTGTGGACCGGAGTATATCGGCCGTACGCAACGTCAAGTCCACAAACGTATTCTGGAACATTGTCCAACTTGGTTAACCAGAGGAGGAAAGAAGAATAGTAGCAGCTGAATCCCCGAACAGCTCGTCAACTCTGGACATCCAGCACCCCCGCATCAATGCTTTACAGAGTCTCTCAATGCTGTGCAAGGGGACTTCGAATACACCATCTGGACATAGCTGAATCATTGGGTATTTCGGATCTGAAACTGAACCTCTGCATTCAAAAGCGAGATATACATTCCCTGCCGTGGCTAGAGTAAAGTTCTTACTATAATTCTGATTCTTTCTCTTTTTATTATGTAAGTTCACTGTTATCATTAGTATTGTTATTACGACTATTATTTTATTATCATTATTATTCCGATCATCCATATTTTATCATCACTCATTTTATCACTGTTTATTAATAACATTGCGTTTTCATACAGAAACACTTTATCGTCTTTCCACTAGTTCCTATCCACTGCACACAATCATATTGATTAGTCATTTTCTCACACTCATTAGTTCAGGCCAACTTCTACCCCCTTTTCTTACTTCCAGTTAGTCAGACCTTCTAGGTTACATCTTACATTACAGAACAGGTTTTTTTGAGGATAAATTTTACCAGTATCTGATTGACTGGTCTAATGATTTCTTTGTTAAATATAATTACGATTTTACAGCAGCTTATGAAAATGAATCGTCGAAAACAAAAATTTTCGTTGCTGTTTACGTCTTTTTCTTATGACTCAGTACAGGAATATCAGAAGCACTTCATCGTATCAAATGGAATCCAAATTGTTTGAACAGAAGTGATGGCCTACCATCACTCTTCTCATGAATTGACTAAATCAACACAAATGTGATAAGCAATTTCATTATGTAAACACACACGCTGTTTTTATAATTTCATACGCTTATCAAATCCAACAATCTACACTTGGTTTTGTTGTGTCTTTCTTTACCAACTGATCAATTTGACAATATGAAAAACCACCTCATGCTGAAGAACGATGATTAAGTTGCAGGATTCTTTGACGGACAAAGCTTGTTTCTAATTGTGATAAATTAATAAGAAATTATGTAGAGAAACGTGAAAATAAAATGAATAATATTAGTAGTGATTTGTGATGACAATAATAATAATGTTCACATGCATGTCAAACATACACAGGATAATGATAACACCAACAATAAGGAATCAAAATCATCAGGAGTAATTTCATACAAGGGAGGAACCTCGGAAACATTAGGCAGAATTCTTAATAAGGCAGAAATAAAAGTGACATTCAAACCAACCACAAACTCAATTAGAACCAAACTTTGTCGGTTAAAGGGACAATCCTGTGGAGCCTTTAAAACAAAACAATTTAGTTTATCTAATACCCTGCCTGCGATGATTGTCAGGTCAAAATAGTAGAACAGGGGCAGTCAGCCAGATTAGCCGAGCATAAAAACCCAGCGAAATCTGGATTGGTTGACCCGAATAAGATAAGAAATCTAGAGAATAGTTCAGCTACACCACTCACTACATGCAGTTACACACAACCATACAATAGGATGGATGGGATAAGATGACAGTTTTAAAATCTAATGTAACAGCTGGGTGGAGGGAGAGGTTGTTAACGGAAGCTTTGTTTATCGAATGAACTGCAAGTACGTGTAGTAGGAATGATTCAACACCTGTCCAGCCGGATATCTGGAAAATTCTACTACCACTACGGCGACAAATAGGAGAGAACAAAGAAAACCATAAAACTCAAGTTTCGAATTCGTGTGATTATAACTGATATGGTTATAAATCTCGAAACCTCGTCACCCAGTGAAATAAAATACTGTCACTGTGTGTGTGATATATCTAATATGATTTAATAATACTACTTTGATAAAGCTATTAGCAGCATTAAAAACAGAGAAACATCAGTAAAAACAACAACAGTATCGTTTCGTTTTTCATTCATTGCGAATATCATACACCCAATGCCCAAATTATTACTTTTTTCAAACTGCTAAAAATGCGAACTTGATTCTGACATCTAAAAAACAACTGGGTAAATCTTAGACATAAAAATGGACGCGAATAACAACTGTGTACTTAAATCAACATGTAGCCGATTATCTTCAGCGACTATCCATCCAACTCCCGACCGAGAGCTGCTACCTTGACGTGCTGGTCCGGCTTGAACACCGCAATGACCCCACAAGCTATACTGGCTGAGACTTATGTCACTTGAGGTCCTACCATGCCAGAGAGGATGTTTGGATAGTGGTTAGACAAAAAGCAGCTACCCAGTCCAATGCTATGACTCAAACAAAATCACAAAATATCATACCGGATCGGTCGGGGCCCGGATTAACAACGACCGCGCTTCCTGCTGCGCTGTCACAGGGCAGAAGTGATATATATGCTACTGAGACACACCAAATGAAAAACAACAAACAAAAACAGGCCGTGTGTGGCCGGCCTCAAGCAGTTGTCCCCTGGGCTTTGCGGTCACGCAACCAACTTCCACAGTGTGGGCAGCCGGGAAGTAACAATCGCCCTCACAATCCGAAATGCGCGCGCGTGAAACCTCTCTAATCCTCACTCATCTATTATCTCCATCCAACTATTGCAACTACTGTGTAAAAAGACAAGACAACAACAATCAACAAACATATTTTTATTCAATTAATTTCAATAAAATCTGAGTGAGACAATAAAAAAAACTAAAGAATAATTTAACCCGGAAAAAGGTAGGAAGAGGAGGCGGAGGAGGAAGTGATCGATCAGAATTCGGCGCTAATTTACACACTACAAAATGAAGAAAAATCCCGCATTCGAACATTAATAGACAGCAGACCAGTAGTAGTTCAGCGACGAGTCTCTTTTCGGTGTATGAATAATGAAGAAAAGCAAAGAGAGCAGCAAAAGCGATTTTCTTTTAAAAATTATACAAGCATGATTCTAATTTGTTCCAGCAAGCAAGCAAATAAGCAGACAAACAAAACATCAAAGTCTCGTCTCAGTAGTAGTAGTTGTTGTTGTTATAATGGTACTTAGTAGTCATGAAAGAAGTTGAAAAAAAAGTACAGAAATATCAATCAGAAGTGATTATAATTAGCAAAACAAAAACCTGAATAATCAACACTGGAATCAATTTTCGTATGTTTCATCGTCCTCCTCGCCATCAACTGTCACAATAATATTCATCATTTATTCATGTTACTCGTACTGTGCGAAAGACGAGAATATACTGCCAGGTTCAACTTTTGATTCATTGAAACAAATTATCTATAATCATTAAATAAAATAATATAAATATATATATGTGTGTGCGTGTAAAGAGGAAATTTAAGATAAGCGCATATATAACTATACTTATATATAATACAAGATAAACCTCGCCTAGATTTGAAAGAGGTTACTTCATTCACTTATCTAGCGAGCATTGTCTCAACTACAGCAGGAACGGATGAGGATGTCAAATCGAGCGAGCGTTAGCAATTTTTTATCTACAGAAAAGTTTTAACGAATTTGCGAATCTCGCATGATGTCAGTTGATAGAAAGTTCCGAACAATTAGTGAACAATGCTCAGAAAAATAACGCTATTATATAGTCTGTACACAGGGAGTTCAAGTTAAAACAATGTAAATGTATGCATACAATGGCAAAGGAGTTACGTAATAAAGACAAGAGATGCGTAAGATGATGAGTAACTAATAAATTGGGGAACGCTGTACTGAGTTCAACTGAAATCATTGAAACAGCAGACAGGGACAATTCAACTATATCGGAGGAGGTGGGGTGAGGTCAAAGCCAAAGATTACGCAATCAAATGAAAAACATATTAATGAATGACGTCCAGTTAGCAGATGGGCAAGAAAAGACTGATAACTGCTTCTTTCTGAACTCATAAATCGGCTTTCAGGGGTATGATAGAGATTGCTTCGGCAAACTTGGGGAGAATTGAGCTGCATTGGCTGTTGATAATTTTAAAGGATATCGCGACCTCACCTTATGATGTGTGGCGAGGAGATGCCTAGTAATGGCGCTATTGTAAGCGTTTGTTCCCTTCAGATGTAGGCTTTTTGGTACATGTTCCAAGAATCGGAAGTGCACCCTTCTTTCTGTTGTCCCAATTTAGCTGCTCCCGCAGATACATGTAGATTTGCATACACAGTTGGAGTTAAGATAAGGAGGGTATCTGTCGACTTTCGAATGCACAATGTCGTACAATGGCTGGAAGATGGTTGTCTCCAGAGGTCTATTTACCCACAACCGACATGGAATGGACAATACCTACATTTTAATAGTTCTGTCCAAGTAGCTTCAAACGAGCATCAGTCAAGAATCTGTACTGTGAAGCTAAGAGAAAATACTCTGCAGAGAAATCAGAGTAGGATTTTATGATTCTCCGTAAGATGTTGAAAAAAATCCGTTACCGTTACAGATTTATCAACAAAAATGGAAGATGGTTACAGGATTTCATCTTGAGCTGACATCGATAAGAGAACTATTGGAAAACCTGGGAGTAGTGGACAGCTTTTAAGCCTTAGTTTTGGACTCCTTGGCAGTACGCACCCTGCTGCTGGATTCAACATAGAACTTGGCACCGAAGTGCAACAACTCGAGTTGCCACGTTCCAAATAGCACACAAACGTAGACAGGAAAATGAGAGAAGAGAATCAATAGAATTTAGATAAGTATAAGAGTGAAACACAATGAGTAATGGTAGAAAGGAATATGAAAGATTACAGAGACTGAATACATCTGCGTAAGCCATTGACAACGATTTTGAGCCATGTCACCTATTGTCTGTCTCCAGCCATTGATTCTTAGAGTCCCGAGGGCCCCAACCCGGAAGTCTGCATCTCCCTACCTGACTCAGTTTAACTGTCAGGGATTTCATGGATTGATGAGGCCATGTTTTTGTTTGACCACCACTTACTCTTTTCCAACCTGCACCTATATCAGCTAGTAATGCCCGTCAGTCGGGGGAGACGATGGTTAGGCATGCACAGCACGTGACCTAACCATCTCAATCTATGTAACTTTATAGCCTCTTTGAGTGATTTTCCCTCTTTGCCCAACACTTTACGCCTAACGTCAACATTACTTACCTTATTATACCACCTAACGCGAGAAAGAGATCGTAAACATCTGTGGTCAAAAACAGACAATCTCTTCATGTCTTCCGCTCTCAATGGCCACGTCTCACCGCCATAGAGAAGGACGGAGCGAACTGCTGAGCAGTACACACGTCCCTTGGTTGACAGCCGGATGTCACGCCTACGCCAGAGACGGTGTAAGTTAGCGAAAGCAGCCCGAGCTTTCTGGATCCGTGCTGTGATTTCGTCACCAACCAATCCGTTGGTGCTGATACAACTTCCCAAATAGGTGAAGTGGTCAACATGTTCTATCACTTCACTCCCTATCACTAAGCTAGGAGTTGACGTAGTCCAGTCCTGTAGCAGCATCTTACATTACACAGGGGCGAATCGCATGCCAAACATACAAAGATTGCAGCTCAAGGTGTTCAGAAGACTCTGCATTTTGTCAGCGTCCTCCCCTAACAGGACTATGTCGTCTGCGTATTCTAAGTCTATAAGACTATTCCCTGGTAACAAGTCGATTCCTAAGTCGTTAAGTTCAGTTAAGGATACTTCCATTAGCGTATCTATGATGAAGTTAAACAGAAAAGGGGAAAGTGGACATCCTTGACGGACACCACTGGTTGTTATCAGTTCAAATGACAATTCCCCATAAGCCCTTACACAGCTACGTGAGTTTGAGTAGAGTGCCTTGATTAGTGCAATGTACTTTCTTGGCACTCCCTTCATAGTCAAACATTGCCATAGTACCTCTCGATCCACGGAGTCGAAGGCCGCCTTCAAGTCAAGAAATATGGCAATTGTTGGACGCCTAAAAGTGTGTCTATGTTCTAGGATCTGTCGGAGAGTGAAGATATGATCTATGCACCCTCTACCTGGCCTAAAGCCCGCTTGATTTTCCCTCGTTTGTTCCTCCCGAGTTCGGCTTAGTCTGTTCATGATTACTGAGCCTAGGATTTTAGAGACTATGTTCGTTAGGCTGATTCCTCTATGATTATCGCATGAGGACTTGTCTCCCTTCTTGAATACTGGTATGATAAGTGACTTACCCCAATCTGATGGAACCGTCTCTGATTCCCAGACGTTACCTAGTACCTTAGTTAAACTATATACTAGTATGTCACCCCCATATTTAAACACCTCCGGAATAATTCCGTCGGGTCCTGCCGCTTTGCCTCGTTTCAAATTACAGATAGCTTTGGTGACCTCACTTACAGACGGCGGGCCAGTGTCTATATCCCATTCGGGTGTGTGCTGGATGGCGGGGAGGCTCAGTGTGGCTGCAGGCAAGTTAAATTGTTCCTCAAAGTGTTCTTTCCAGCGTTCGAGGCGTCTATCCCGAGAACTAATTAAGGAGCCATTTTTCTCAGAAATAGTCTCACTTATGATTTGCCTTCTCCCACCCGTTTCCCTGATGGGTCTAAAGAGTTGCCTAGTGTTGCCTATCGCCGATGCTCTTTCCATCTCTTTCGCCTTTGTCAACCACCACTGTTCACGGTCCTTGCGGAGACTTTTCGTGAGTTTCCTTTTGTGCAGCTTTCGCTCCTCATTGAATTCGGAGCTCGCCGGAATAAGTCTTCTAGCATCTATCAGTTCGGATGAGGCAGTCGAAATCCAATAGTTTTTACTCACCTTTGGATTTACCTTATTCACAGCTTTTACAGCTGTATCTATGGCTGATTGAATATTCTTCCAGGCTTCTTCAGGGTGAGCACAGCTGTCGAACTCAGATATGTGTTTAGCTAGTTCTTCCTCAAATAGGGACTTAGTTTCCAGATCGAGCTGGGGACGTGATGGGTTTACCGCTAGCTGTTTCCTACGTCCGTCCAGTCGTAAGCACACACGAGCGCGGACCAGTGCGTGATCGGTATCTACACACGTGTTCCAGAAGGAGCGACAATCCCCTACCGACCCACGCCAACGGTAGCTTATTGCTATGTGGTCTATTTGTGTCCAGCGTTGGTTTGATGATGGAGGTCGCCAGGTCAAACAGTGTCTCTCCTTGTGTTTGAAGTTAGTGCTTACAAGAAACAAGTGATTATCTGAACAGAACTGGCACGGAATTCCGTATGTGCCACCGACATTCTTCTCAGATTGACCCGATTTCCCCACTTGAGCATTAAAGTCACCAGCTAAAACGACTATATCTGAGCGTTTAGCTTTTCGCAGCAAACTAGACAGCTTTTGGTAGAACTCATCCTTCGTTTCATCCGAACTGCAGTCAGTGGGGGCGTAGGCGGAGATTACGAAAAGGCATCGGCGAGTAGTGCAGTCCTTTCTCCTTTTCACTGATCCGTTCAGACGGACAGCACACATTCGGCTATCTACCGGGATCCAGTCAAGTAATGTCTTTTCTGCCCTAGTACTCAAAGCTATCCCAACACCAGCTAATTCTCGTGAGCTAGCCGTCGCATCTCCTGACACCCTCAAGGTGAATTTTGCAGATTCATCCTGTTGGCCAGGTGGGGTTAGGTGAATAACCACACTTGGGTCTTGTATGCGTGTTTCTGAAACACAACATACATCAATGGCTCGGGATGCCAGAGTCTTGGCTAGTGATGCCTGTTGTCCTATTTGACAAAGTGTCCTAACATTAAATGCCCCTATATGAAATTGGTGACGTGGCTTTAGGAGACTATCGAAGGTGGTTTTTTGGCTTCCGTCGTTTCCAGTGCACACAGAGTGAAGAGGAAGTGAAGAGCCATTAAGTAGAGGAGTTGCATCAGTAGAAGGAAGGCAAGATAATAGAGATGAAGATGAAAACAAAGGTGAGTGAGGATTAGAGAGGTTTCGCGTGCACTTCGGATTGTGAGGGCGATTGTTACTTCCCGGCTGCCCACACTGTGGAAGTTGGTTGCGTGACCGCAAAGCCCAGGGGACAACTGCTTGAGGCCGGCCACACACGGCCTGTTTTTGTTTGTTGTTTTTCATTTGGTGTGTCTCAGTAGCATATTTATCACTTCTGCCCTGTGACAGCGCAGCAGGAAGCGCGGTCATTGTTAATCCGGGCCCCGACCGATCCGGCATGATATTTTGTGATTTATTTGAAGTCATAGGATTGGATTGGGTAACCGCTTTTAGTCTAACCGCTATCCAAACAACCTTTCTGGCATGGTAGGACCTGCAGGAACATAAGTTCCAGCCAGTATAGCTTGTGGGGTCATTGCGGTGTTCAAGCC